GTTATGGTTAGCATGGTGCAGAATGAGAATTCCAGAACACTTCGTTGTGCTCATGAGGAACCTGTACATAGACCAAGAGGCAGTCATTTGAACAGAAAAAAGGATACTGCATGGTTTAAAATCGGAAAAGGTGTGCTCCAGGTCTGTATCTTTTTTACCATACTTAGTCTGTTTGCTGAGCAAATAGTCCAAGAAGCTGGGCTGTATGAAGAAGAATGGGGCATCAGGATTGGAGGAAGACTCATTAACAACCTTTGATATGCAGATGACATAATCTTGCTTGCTGAAAATGAAGAGGACTTGAAGCACTTACTGATGAAGATCAAAGACCACGGCTTTCAGTATGGATTGCACCTCAGCATAAAGAAAACAAAAATCCTCACAAGTGGACCAATAGGCAACATCATCATAAATGGAGAAAATATGGAAGTTGTCAAGGATTTCATTTTACTTGTATCCACAATCAACACCAGCAGCAGTCAAGAAATTAAATGAAGTACTGCATTGGGCAAATCTGCTGCAAAAGACCTCTTTAGAGTTTGTTAACAAGCAAAGATGTCACTTTGGTGACTAAGGTGCACCTGACCCAAGCCATGATATTTTCAGTCACCTCATATGCATGTGAAAGCTGGACAATGAATACGGAAGACTGAAGAATTGATGCCTTTGAATTTTGGTGTTGGTGAAGAAAATTGAATATACCATGTACTGCCAGAAGAATGAACAAATCTGTCTTGGAAGAAGTACAGCCAGAATGCTGCTTAGAAGCGAGGATGGCAAGACTTTGTCTCACATACGTTGAACATGTTATCAGGAGAGACCAATCCCTGGAGAAGGACATCATGCTTGGTAAAACAGAGGGTCAGTGAAAAAGAGGAAGACCCTCAACGAGATGGATTGACACAGTGGCTACAACAATGGGCTCAAATATACCTACCATTGTGGGGGTGGCACAGGATAGGGCAGTGTCTCGTTCTGTTATGCATGATGTCATTATGAGTTGGAACCTACTTGACAGCACCTGACAACAACTGTGCTCTCAACTCCTGTATGATGTTGACAAGAGGTAGTAATGATTGGCACATCTTGTCTTGTTCCAACTCTTAAAGAGAATGCTTTTAAGGTTTCACCTTTTACTAATAGTTTCTTTACAATTATGAATAAATGAAATTTTCCACCTTAGGGGGCAGTGAATTTGTATTAATGAGAGAAGAACAGCTCAGAAAAGGAGAGTGAGAATGGTTGCACAACTCTGAGAATGTAATCAATGTCTCTGAATTGTACATGTACAAAAGGTAGCATTGGTGTATGTTTTGCTATGTACATTCTCAACAATAATGAATTTTTAAAAAAAATTGCCAATAAATGAATTTTATCCAATTTTTTGAAAAAAATTTCCTGGATCCGAGACTATTATAATTCTCTAGATGTGATGCACTGCATTGATTGACCTTCCTTTTTTATATATTTTCATGGGTTTTCTAATGTTAAACCCACTCGAACATCTGGGATAAACCCATCTCCGTTCTGACATTGTATCCTTTTAACCTATGGCCGCATTCCGTTTTCTAGCATTTTGTGTAGGATTTTTGCATCTATGTTCGTGAGTGAGGTCGGCCCATCATTTTCTGTGCTCTTGAGGCCCCTGTCAGGTTGGGTACAAGGTTATGCTGATTAATGGGATACGGGAGCACTCGCTCCGGGGGCCCAGATTTGCCTCTCCAGCATCCCGCAGTCGCCGGAAGCGGGTGTGCAGGGTTGGCGGTTGAGGCCCGGGGAAGCTATGTCTGTCCTCCTCTCCAGCGGCAAATCCCTGTGGACTCCTCAGTGGTCCCCGCAGATCGAACGTCTCCGAGGGCGCCAGGGGCTGTGGCTGCCCATTGCTCCTCCCCCTTGCCCCACTCCCATCTCTGCGCCGCCCGAAATCTCCCATAGCCAGGACTGGTGGCGGGATCGACCGCCCCGAGGCCTCAGGTCTGCCCGACGCCCACGCGCTCCCCGAGGGAAGGACAAGGCCATAGGCTGCCGAAGCAGAACTCGAGGACCCGGAGCAGTGCCACCGACCCGCGGACAAGGCGCCCCGCGGGCCCAGGCGCCACTCTGCGGTCAAAGCTCGCTTCCCAGGCCGTCTCCGCGCAGGAACCGTGTGCGAGGCGTGCCCCCTAGCGGCCGCATGGCGCGTGAGCGGATGAGCAGAACTTCGCGTAGGGGTCAAGGTCAACAGGTGGGCGCGATGCCAGGGCTGCAGGAGCGCCCCGCAACCTTCCCCAGACCTGGTGACGCGAGCAGCTCAGCTTCAGAGACGAGGTAACCAGGACCCCAGTGTCACACAGCAGGCTCATAACTGCGGCGGTTTTGAACCTTCTGAGCCGTGACCTTCCTGAATGTTGACCTCTTCATTTTAACTGTAAAACGGAGATTATCTACTGGCCCATCATAGAGATGGGAAGAAGCTGTCAACGCATAGAATTCACACTTTCTGGAGGATACGAAGTTTCTCCTCTCCTGGCCTCAGCATTCTTGTTTTCTTATGTCTTACAAGTACTAGATAAACAGCAGCTGCTCATTGTAAATCAAAAAACCAAACCCACTGCCATGGAGTCGATTCTGACTCATAGCGACCCTGCAGGACAGAGTAGAACTGCCCCATAGGATTTCCAAGGTTGTAGTCTGTATGGAAGCAGACTGCCACATCTTTCTCCTGCAGAGCAGCTGGTGGGTTCAAACCCCTGACCTTTTGGTTAGCAGCTGAGCACTTAACCCAGACTCCTTTCTGCTCATTATAGGAGGAAGGAATTCAGGGTTAATGATATTCAATTTTCCAGAATGGGAGTCTGCATAAGGGGTGTCTGTGTGAGGGAAGCAGGGCAATGTTTCTTCACTTATTTAGCAAATACTTATTGGGCACTGTGATAGGCAGGATGGCCCCTCCAAGATCTCCACATCCTAGTCTCCGGAACCTGTGAATATGGTAGGTTACATGGCAAAGGAGAGTTAGGTTGCAGAATGAGTTAAGGTTGCCAATGAACTGACCTTAAGATAGGAAGATGATCTTGGATAATCTAGGTGGACCCAATGTAATCACAAGGGTAGGGAGTTAGAGAAGGATACGTGACAATGAAGCAGAGAGGTGAGAACATGCAATTGCTGGCTTTAAAAATGGAAGGAGGGAACAAGCCGAGGAACTCAGGCAGCCTCTAAAAGCTGGAAAAGGCACGGAAATGGATTCTCTCCTACACCCTGCAGAACTCACACCTGCTGACACCTTGATTTTGGCCCAGTTTGAGACCTATTTTGGATTTCTGACCTCTAGAGCTGTAAGATACTAAATGTGTTGCCACTAAGCATGTGGTAATTTGTTACAGCAGCAATAAGAACAAACACAGTATCCTAACAGATACAGTTACACCATTAGCACAAATGAGCACTTATCCACTCATTCACTTAACCCTAAAGCAAGGCCAGCAAGGCAGAAGCGGCCATGGCTATTGGGGGTCCAGGGCCCGGGCTGCAGAAAGGTTGATTAGATGGTATTTACTTCTCCTGCCTTTTTTGACCTCCTGCAGCAGAGAGTAAGCCTGAAGAACTACAGTGCCCTCCCACCGGGCCTCTGACATGGGCTATCGCCATGGAAAAAGAAGCTCAGAGAGGTGAAATGACCTGCTGAAGCTCCCAGAGTGGGGATGCTGGGACTTGCTATTGGTTCCCTCCCAGTAAATCTGTGCCAGCCCTGATAAGAGTCAGACCCTCCCTCTGAGAGCAGCCAGTTGAGTTGGGGAGGAACAGGAGAACAGAGAGAACACAAGGGGTTACCTGGAGTAAGGCAAGGCTGCTGTGCCAGAGAGCTGGCAGAAATCCAGAGGCTCAAAACCAAAAATGTTTATTTTGTTCTCCCACAATAGTGTGCACTGAGTCAGTAGTGGGCATCTCTGCTCTGCACAGTGACTCAGAAACTCTTTTGTTTTTCTGCCATCCTCTGCTCTCGCTATCTCTCAGGAGCTCACAATCAAGTGGGGAATGGCCCCTTAAACAGGCAAGTGGCTTGCAATCAGGGACGAATTTGCCCACCAGCGTACATTTGGCAATGTTTGGCTGAGCATGGAGGGGGCTATAAGGGTGTGTTGTCTGGGAGTGACCACACGACCCTGGATTAGTCAGGACTCTGACTGGGCTGCATGTTTCCACTTTGCACAGTGGGGAGACTGACCTCACAGGGTTCTGGGGTTGGAGGAAGAACTGGGTGCTGGGTGGGAGGAAGACTGTCAGGGACCTCTCTGACTCTAGGGGTGTGGCTTTTAGGTCTCAACGCTAGACTGTCTTCTGGGAGGCGGGAGTCATCTGCTGACTGTCAACCCAGCTCCAGCCAAACCCATTTGCAGAGGAAATGATAACCCCTCATATTTGTACTACACCTGACAGGTGACATTTGGTCCTGGCCCCTCACACCTCCCTTGCTCCTGGCCCACACTGACTCAAGTGTCCACTCTGCTATAGAATGAACCAGGCCAGGTGCTCTCTCTACCTCTGAGGAGCTGGAAATTAAATAATAAATGGCCTCTTAAACAGGCAGTGACAGTCTGCCAGGAACAGTCCAGGAGAGTACAGAGATGGCACTGAGGTGGGAGTGAGGTGAGTGGAAAGTTTCTTGGAGAAGGCAATGCAGCTGGGTTTGGAAGGATGGACAGCATTCTGGTGCAGTGGTCCTCAATCCTGGCTGCCCATTAGAATCACCTGGGGAACTTAAAAAATATTCAAATGCCTGGGGCCGCCCTAGACTAGCAGAATCAGAACCTCTGGGATGAGGCCAGGGCATAGGTATTTTTTAACAGCCCCGTCCCCCCTTCCCCAGGTGATTACAATGTGTAGCCAGGTTCAGATCCACTGAGCTCGGTAAGACAGAGATATCCAGAACTAGAAAGGCACGTTTTCAGTAGGGAAAACATCATGTGCGGAGGCCCAGGGTCTGAGCCCCACATGCACCCAGCGCCATCCATCCAGCCTCAGGAGACCCTGCGACCCCGGGAACAATTCAGCTTGGGGTTGTGCAGTGCCTTCCACATGAGGAGCATCTCGTAGGGCACGAAGCGGTGCACGAGCAGTAGTTCACGGTATATGCAAGGGTCGAAGGAGGACCCGTGGGTGCCTGGCAGCTGCACGCCGTAGGGCCGGATGCCTTCGTGGCCGCTAGGCGCCAGACCTGCACGCTGCAGGCACATGCCCATGTAGGCATCATCGATGGGGAAGAGTGGCGTGTGGTGGGCGGCCCTGCGCAGGGCCTGGGCCGTGTGGCTGGACAGGAGGAAGCCGCCGCCGCTGCAGTATATCGGGTAGGCCTTCCCAGGGAATATTTGCGGAGGCACGAAGTACTTGCTCCAGCTGTCGCGAATGGGCACGGAGCCGTCCATGAGCTGCCCGGTGAAGAGATGGCGGTCTGGCTGCTGCTGTTCCAGGAAGCGCAGCATGTTGGCCGTGTGCACAAAGACGTCGTCGTCACAGCTGAGCAGAAAGCGCGCCTGTGGGCATTGCGCCGCCAGCCAATCCAGCAGGTGCACGTGCTTGAGCGAGAGGTTAAGGAAGGTGTCGGTGAAGGCCCACTGCAGCACGTCACCGTGCTCGCGCGCTTCCAGGCTCACCAGCGCGTCCAGCTGCTCCGAGCGCTCACGGTGCTCAGGCGCCGGCGTGCCCAGGAGGAAGAGACGGCGCACTGGCAGCCCGCGGTAGCTGTGCTCCTGCCCCCACGTGCGACGGATAACCTCGCGCCGCTCGTAGTTTTCGGGAGATGACTTCACCGCCAGGAGCAGGAAGACGCCGCGGCGGCCCGCGCACTTGGCTGGCGCGTCCCAAAGCAGCCGAAAGTGGCGGCAGTGGCGGTACCGCAGAAAGTCTTGGATCCGGGCAGGCAGCTGCTCAAAGTCGGGCGTGGAGTTCACAGAGGCGTTGGCCACACACAGGGGCCCTGGGTTGAGCGCTGAGGGCTGCGCAGCAAGAGCATCTATCCGGAGATCCCACGCCTCCTCCTGCTGGGACTTCTGGGCCTGGAGGAACCATAGATGCAGTGCCAAGAAACTCAGGCCTACCAGAAGGAAGAACGGAGTCTTGGATCTTGATTTCATGGACCTGTGGCAGGGAAAGGCCATCTGTGGGGGAAACCAAGTCAGAGGTGAGCCAGGAGTTGTTTGAGATTAGCGTAACTCCACCCTTACCCCATCACATCTTTCCCAGAACCAAGCCCCTTCTCTGTTAATAAGAAGGAACCAGAACTCAAGATTACACTGAAGCATCCCATGTCTCCCACATCCCAGAGCCTTCTTCTGATCTTCAGATCTGTGTATCCCATTGCCTTCTGGACATCTCCCCCTAACTCCTCTTAGGCCATGTGGACTACTCCTGACCAAAGCCAAATTCTCCATCTGTCATGGATTGAATTGTGTCCCCCTAAAATATGTGTATCAATTTGGCTAGGCCATGATTCCCAGTATTGTGTGATTGTCCACCATTTTGTCATCTGATATGATTTTCTTTTGTGTTGTAAATGATGTTAATGAGGTGGGATAGGTAGCAGTTATGTTAATGAGGCAGTACTCAGTCTACTAGATTGGATTGTGTCTTGAGCCAATCTGTTTTGAGATATAAAAGAGATAAGAGAGCAGAGAGACAGGGGGACCTCATACCACCAAGAAAACAGCGCTGAGAGCAGAGCACGTCCTTTGGACTTGGGGTTCCTGCGTGGAGAAGCTCCGAGTCCAGGAAAAGATTGATGACAAGGACTTTCCTCCAGAACTGACAGAGAAGGCCTTCCTCTGGAGCTGACGCCCTGAATTTCAACTTCTAGCCTACTAGACTGTGAGAGAATAAACTTCTGTTTGTTAAAGCCATCCACTTGTGGTATTTCTGTTACAGCAGCACTAGATGACTAAGACCCCATCTTACTGTGAATCATTATCCCGCATTTCCCACCTCAGTAAATGGTACTACCACCCACCCAGTTGCTCAGCCCAGAAGCATTGACTCCCCACACTCCTCAACTTAAAGCCACTCTCCCTATGCATTGTACAGCTCTCCCATTTTACTCCCTCCTCTCCATCCCTGTCCAGGCCTGATCCTTTTAATCCATTCCCCTCTTGCCATCAGCATCAAGGAAGTCTGAGGTGATAGTACTGGACTCAGACCCAGGTCAGAATTCTGGCTTTACCATCCAAGCTGCACCATCATGAACAAGTCATTTCAGAGCTCTAGGTCTGGGTATTCTCATCTGTAACAAAGGGTTTGTAAATTCCTACTTTGGAAGGTTGTGTGGACATCAAATGAGATACTATATAAAAACATCTGGCATCGGACTTCTGGGAAGATAGCGGTGTGAACAGATCTGAACTCCTGACCCTCTCAGCAAGAAGAACAATAAAAGCAACTAGGATTCTGTGTACAGCCCTGCAAAGTCCGAAATGATGGGCAATGAATGGCAGCAAGGAACTGAAAACTGAATAAAAACAAGGACAAATCATAAGATAAGGAAAACAAGAATTGCTGAAAGGAGTTCTTCAAATGGAAAAGAAAGAGCACTAGACACCTACTCAAAGCTGTACATGAGGAGAAAGTAAAGGTAAAGGTGTAGACAAAAGGGCTAGTTTTATGGTATTTTTGGTTGTTAACTTTAGTTGTTTTAAAAGCTTTGTAACAGCAAATGAATAATAAGTGTAAACTTCTGTTAATGGGCATATGAGGTATGAAGATGTAATTGGTGACAACAACAACAGAGAAAGGGCTGGGGGGCGGGGGGCAGTATAGAAGTAGAGTTTTTGTATGTTACTGAAGATAAGTAGGTGTCAAGTTAAACAAGGTTGTTGTATATATATGGTGTCAAATTAGTTTTCATGGTAACCACAAGGAAAATATCTTTAAAATACACACAGTAGGTAAGAAGTAGGAAATCAAAAGTGTTCAATAAAAAAATAAACTAAACACAAATAATGACAAAATTGCAGGAAATGAAGGTCAAAGAAGAAACAAGACACACAAAAAATAATTAGCAAAATGACAGAAGTAAGACCTTCATTATCAGTAATTACCATAAATGGAAAGGGATTAAATGTTCCAAGCAAAAGGCAGATAGTGGCAGAATGAATTAAAAAACATGATACATCCACATGCTGTCTGCAAGAGACACATCTTAGGCCTAAAGACACAAACAGACTGAAAGTGAAAGGATGGAAATGAATAATCCATGCAAATAATAACCAAAAAAGAGTAAGGTGGCCATATTGATAGCAGACAAAATAGACTAAGTAAAAATCTGTTACAACAGATGAAGATGTACATTATATAATGATAAAAGAGTCAATTCATCAAAAAAATGACAAATATAAATATATATGCACCTAACATCAAAGCACCAAAATTTATGAAGCAAAAATTTATAGAACTGAAGGAAGTAACAAATAGCTCTAAAATAATAGTTGGGGATTTCAATATTGGATAGAACATCTAGAAAGAAGATTAGTAAGGAAATAGAAGACTTTAACAACACTGTAAACCAATTAGACCTAACAGATATGCATAAAACACTCCACTCAATAACAGAACATTGCATATTCTTCTCCAGTACCATGAGTCATTCTCCAGGATAGACCATATCCTAGTTCACAAGTTGTCTTAGGCTAGGTTCTCTAGATAAGCAAAACCAGTGAAGCATATGTGTATGTGATACATATGCTTCACTCTGTTATATATATAATACAGAGATTTATATCAAGGAAATGGCTCACACAGTTGTAAAGGCTGAAAAGTCCCAAATCCGTGGGTCAGGCTGGAGGCTTCTCCTGACCCACACAGCTGCAGGGGTGAAGAATCCAAGATCAGCAGATAAGCTGCTACCTCAAGTCCCAAGAACTGGAGGTCAGATGCAGGATCCAGAGCAAACAAAAGCCATTGACCTTTGCCAGAAAGTCCAATATATTAGATGCAGGCCACACCCCCAAGGAAACTGCCTTTCAACTGATTGGCTGCTCATAGCAGATCTCGTTGTGGAGGTGATTACACCATTACATAGCTGCTAAACTACATCATAACTGAGAATGCCAAACCACTGAGAATCATGGCGCAGCCAAGTTGACACACAACTTTAACCATCACATAAGTCTCAATACATTTAAAAAGATTGAAATCATATAAAGTGTTTTCTCCAACCATAAGGAAGTGATACTAGAAATTAATAGAAAAAGGAAAACTGAAAAACACACAAATATATGGAAATTAGACAATACTTTATTAAATAAAAAATGGTCAAAGAAAAAATCAAGAGAGAAAAGAGTCAAACAAAAATAAAAACACAGCATACCTTAACCTATGGGATGCAGGGAAGACAGTGTTAAGAGGGAAATTTATAGTAATGGACACTTACACTAAAAAATAGCCTACCTCTACAATTTGAACAACTAGAAAAAGAAGAGCAAATTAAACCTACCAGAAGGAAGGAAATAAATGAAATAGACAATAGAAAAATAATAAAGAAAATCAACAAAACCAGTAGTTCTTTGAAAAGATCAGTAAAATCAACAAACCTTTATCTAGATTGATAAAAGAGAAAATGCAGATAACTAAAATAATGAATGAAACTGGAGACATTACAACTGACCCAATAGAAATAAAAAGGATCATAATAAAATATTATGAACAGTTCTATGCCAACAAACTTGATAAATTCCTAGAAACACATAGTCTACCTAAACTGACCCAAGAAGAAATAGAAAATCTCAACAGACCCATAACAAGTGAAGAGATTTGAAACAGTAATAAAAAACTTCCCAACAACAACAACAACAACAAAGTCCTGGACCAGATAGCATCACTGGGGAATTCTACCAAACATTTAAAAAAGAATTGACACCAATCCTGCTCAAACTCTTCCAAAAAGTAGGAGGAAAGAACACTCCATAACTCATTCTGTGAACAGCATTACCCTGATACCAAAGCCAGACAGACATGACAATAAAACTAGAGGCCAATATTCCTTATGAATATAGATTCAAAAATACTCAACAAAGAACTAGTGAACTGAATCCAACAGCGTATTAAAAGAATTATACACCATGATCAAGTGGGGTTTATCCCAGGAATGCAAAGGTGGTTCACTATTAGAAAATCAATCAATGTAAGACACCACATAAATAGAACAACAACAGAAAAGCACCATATGATCATATAAATTGATGCAGAAAAGGCATTTGACAAAATTCAACACCTTTCATGATAAAAACACTCAACAAGATAGGAATAGAAGGGAAATTCCTCAATATAATAAAGGGCATTTATGGAAAACCCACAACTAACATCATACTCAGTGAAGAAAGATTGAGAGCTTCCCCACTAAGATCAGGAACAAGACAAGGACTCCCACTCTCACCATTGCTATTCAATATTGTACTGGAAGTCATAGCCAAATCAATTAGGCATGGGATAAAAAAAAGTATCCACATTGTAAACAAGGAAGTAAAACTGTCCCTTTTTTCAGATGGCATGATCCTATATATAGAAAATCCCAAAGACTCCACAAGAAAGCTATTAGAGCTAATAAATAAATTCAGCATAGTGATACAAGGTCAACACACAAAAATCAGTCGTGTTTCTATATATCAGCAACAAACAAACTGAAAAGGAAATTAAGGAATAGCATCTAAAAGAATAAAGTACCTAGGAATAAATTTAACCAAGAAGGTGAAAGACTTATACATGGAAAACTATATAAAACATTACTAAAAGAAATCAAAGAAGACCTAAATAAATGGAAAGACATCATGTTCATGGATTGGAACGCTCAATATAGTTAAGATATCAGTTCTGCCTAAAGCACTCTATAAATTTGGTGTAATCTCCATTAAAATCCCAATAGCCTTCTTTGGAGAAATGGAAAAGCCAATCCTCAAATTTATGTGGAAGGGCAAGGGATCCCAGATAGCTAAAGCAATATTGAAAAAGAAGAATAAAGTAGGAGGACTCACATTTCCTGATTTCAAAACATGTGATAAAACTACAGTAATCAAAATACCCTGGTACTGGTATAATGATAGACATACAGATCGATGGAACAGAGTTAAGAGTCTAGAAATAAACTTATGTATATCCATCTTCAGTTGATTTTTGA